CTGAAGAAGGCCAGGTCCATTCTCAAGGACCCCAGTCATCCCAGTCACAAACTGTTTTCCCTTCTACCGTCTGGTAAACGGCACCAGAGCATTCGGTCCAAGTCCAACAGACTACAGAACAGCTTCTACCTCCAGGCAATAAGACTGATAAATAGCCAACCTGCAGCTCCTTTAGCAAATCACCTGTAATGGCTACATGGACACACAGTTTTCACTGTATTCAGCATATCCTCACTACTTGTATATATTGCATACACCATGGACCCATAGCAGCTCTACTCATATTGAGTTTTATTCCGTTTCTATTACATCTATTATTATGTAACCTTATTTTCATAACCTCAATTTTGTGATTTTTGTGTTTGTGTGATTTCTGGGATTCTTGTGATTTTTGTGAGCTCGCAGAAAAGACATTTCATTGCCAGCAACTACTGCTGCACGCTGTATTGTTGTGCATTTGATAAATTAACTTTGATTTGATTGGATTTGATTTGAGGAGGTCATGGACAGGACTGAGGCATGGGAGAGTATAGAGTGAAAAGGCATGTGATGAATACAGGACTGCTAGCAGAGGGCTCCATGGTCTTAATATGTAATCAAGCTCAAATTGAGTGAGTGTGAGAAATCGATGTGACATGTTTCATCCCAGAGGTGACACTCTTCATCCCAGATACCCCTATGGGGGGAGATTAAGAGCGCTTCTTTTGGAAGAGAGTGCAAGTATAAGAGAATAAACATAGTGTTACAGCTACAGTATGGTAAGTGACTATTGAAGGTTCTTTACCAATCTAGATACAATGGTTATCACCTGGAGCTTCAAAGCATGGAGAGAACTATGGTGGTTACTTAGTTGTTTTGGGTGTGAGAAACATTGATCAAATCACTCATCTGGTTTACCTTGGTTAATTACGATCTGGGTAAACGATTAAGTAAAGGAACAGGTAAAGGTTTATTCCTAATGGTGTATGCTTGAAGAAGGCTCCATGGGTGAAATTTTGTGTCTCTTTTCCATTCCTTTCATCATGGAATAAACCTTAACTTGTTCCTTTGCAGCCTGCACTGAAATATAAAAATATAAATACTCTGAAGCAGCAACCTACTCGAACTTCTTAACTGATTAAGGGTCAATCAATAGTCCAGAAACACAGTATAAAACAGCCAGATACAGGAGGGGAGGACACAAGAAGAAGGTCCTTGTCCGGGTCATTCATAAACACCACGTTTGAGTCAAGCATTTGAATCTTGTGAGGAGACCATGCCATTTGGTTCTTTTAAGGAAACTGATTATTGGTATGAAGAATTCCCTGGTTAAAATGGCCTCTCCTGGTTAGTGTGCATTTTTTAGAACAAGAAGATAGGTTTCACATTCACTTTGTAGCATCTGGGTTTACAGACGTCTGTTGGTTTTAGCATTCGTAGGCATTATACTCAATCACTCAAGTATCTAGTTAAAATCTAACCATTTGATGGTTATGGTTATTTAATTTAATTATTGACTAACCTGCTTAGTCTATATTCTTTATTTTCATAACCCACTATTTGTAACAATAACAAACGTTCCCTAACAGACTGTAATGGACATGTCTGTCAACACGGGCCCGCCTGGATTACATCCTTAAATTATGGCCACGCACGAAGCATCACAATATCTGATATAGTAACATATAGAATCTTACTCAACCATCCACATTGTTATTTCACACTATAAGGTTTTATTGTTTAAAAGGGAAAGAGTCCCCACATCAGCATGCTTTCACCACCATGCCAGTTATTTCTTCCTGGCATTTCTCATGCTGTAGCAACTGTAGTCTGAAAATGGTGAACATCTACTGTACCTTGTACCAAGTTTTGGCTTATCCCACACAGATTCATTGTTTTAGTTAAAATAATATATATTTGAATGGCAGTTTGTACAGATTCCTAATGAATTGATTTTGGTAATTTTTAGTAAACTGAAATGATTAACAGTCACCTGGCATTATTCTGAAAGGTGACTTAAGCTTATTATTTTAGTATACCAAGGAACAATTGTACTCAAAACAATTAACAAACCCATCTGCACACTATTTAAAATGTAAACATTTTGTTCTGCATGTACTCACTGAACTATTTATGTAAAAAGTCCCAAAGTGTTTATGGCTTTTCATAAGGTAAGAGAAAATATTATAGACAGCCACTAAGAAAGCATTCAGCAGATTTTGTGTATTAAGTATCATAAAAACGAATGATTTTGAAAAAAAAAACCCTTTCTGAAATACTTAAAGATATTAAAGATACAGTAATAAAGTCAATTTTCCCAATATTCTTGATAATATTGGATATTATAAGAGCTGAAAAACTAAACTATGTTGTCTGTTGTGTGTGTCTTAAGTTTCTGTATGTTAAAAAGCAGATTATATGTGGTAAGAACAACTTAAAAGTTAATAATTTTATTGGGCCTTGGCCTAATGATAATTATAATACCTGTGCATCCTGTGGAGATGTGATTTGGTCACCCATAATAGAAGATCTTATAGCTGAAAGAGAGGACTAGTTGTGCAATCAAAAAAATCAAACCCACCACAGACAAGGACACAATTCCAAATACTTATGAACCTAGCATTGGCACACTTTGCATTCTTCTGACTGTTCTTAGGTCCATCTTTAGTTAAAAAGTCATATTAATCTCTTGACTCAGATTGAGATTTCTCTTCCTGAACTGACCATTTAATTTAAGAAACACCTTAAAAACCATGGTACAGTACTTCTTTTTAAATTCTCATATAAGTGATTCATCAAGTGGTGATATATGTACTTCAAGGACCATTGATTTTCACTCATTTTACTGCTTAGAATGACATGCTTTTCTTCATAGAAAAATATGTATGGCCTCATCACAGGTTTTATACATCAGTCTCCTTGATTTGGATGATATAATCAAACAGTAATCAGGTCTTTCCCATTGCTATGACCATGTGTAAAATATATTTTAGGGAGACGCTTTCATTAACTGAAGATGTTGCAAGTAAACATTATCATGCTTTCACAATTACAAAGTTTCCTTCCTATTGGGCAAGGAGATAAGGTTGGGTTTAAGTTCTGTAGTTTAGAGCCTAATATGGCAACTACAGCATCTTTACCATCTTATAGCCTGATCTTTTTGGCTCTTAGAAGCCAGACAAGGCTGGGCCTAGTCAGTATTGGGATCGGTGACCTCCAAGGAAACCTATATTGCTACTGCAAGTGGTGCTGGTGGACCAGTAGGTGACACTCTTCCTTCTAGAACTCAATATCCAAACCAATGCCTCAGTACAGTGGCTAGACATACTGTTCTGTATAAGCTGCTATCCTTTAAAATTTTAACTAAATTAAAAATGACAAAGTGACAAAGTGAAATTTGTTTGTGTTCTCTGTCACATAAGATTCGATTTATCTACTGTTAGGACTTGATGAGGACTAGATGAAGGTCAGATATGTCTTAATACCGTATGTAAAACCATAGAATCATAAGTGGTGTACTTTCGTTTTCATATCACTGTAGGAATAAGGCCAATCAGAATTTAACATTAAAATATATGGAAAACATGAGAAAACTAAAACAGATAATGCATGTGCACAAAACTTTTTCCCAGTCAGTGGATAAAAGTGTGACAATACAGTAGCAATGAAGAGATGAAGAGGGCTTGCTAACCTCTCAAAACATTCTCTACAAATGTTGAACAAGACATTGAGAAACCAATTATTCTTCGCTGTCCCCTTAGAGTATTACAGTACGTACAAGATAATTAAAGAGCATCCACAGTTCTCTGTCAGACACAAGCAGCTTACAGTAGTCACATTACTGATTCTAGTGCCTCTGTTGAGGTGCACCAGAGGCAGGTTAGCCCACATCAGCTCTGACAACAATCCATTGCATTCATCACTATCTAATAAATGTTTCAGCCCAGACTTGGTAACAACTAATGTCTTACAATTGCAGGCCAGCACATTTTTCAAAAATACCTTTGCCTCCTTTGCTAACATCACAAAATCAATACAGACTTCTGAATTCAGGCAAATCTTTCAATGTTTCCATTTCTATTCCATTTCTATGAAATGTTAAATTAAATTGGATAAAAATATCACTATTTTTTTTTGGGGGGGGGCAAAAAAACAGGATATCATTCCCCCACATTTTTCCTATTATTGTTTTTATGATGTGTTTGCTCAAATGTTGGTCTTCCTCAAAGATTAGAGAAATGTTTATTAAAGAGTTTCATTTACAGAAAAAAGGCAGACTAAGTGTAAGCATTAACAAATGCTTACACTTAGTACAAAGACCCAGTTTAGTTTTTGTCCAGGACAAATCCAAATTGGCATTGTTTCACTTAGACACTTTTGTTTCCCACACTTACAGTACATAGAAAGGATTTGTCACTGGACTTCAGCCTTGTAGAATAAGAAACGTCCAGCTGCTTTCACAGCTGTAAAACTACAGGAAGCAGCCAACCACATCTACAAGGAGAGCTATTGTGTTAAGGAAGTTTGAGAGTGTCTGTCAGAGGAGAAATGGGGAGAACCTGCCTGAACAGGTTTTCTAATTAACTTCCGCATTTGAGCAGAATCAATCAGTATGACTACTCTTTGCTAAAATGTTAAGTATGGCAGAAGCCTGTATGTATTCACCACTGTGACATCTCTTTTTGGTTGTGGGGAAATGCCGGTAATTCCACCAGAGCTACATCAAGACAAACTGTAGTTACCTACTGTACTGTATGTAAACCTCGTACTGATGTGATGAATGAATTTACTTGTACAATAAAACAGTGTAACAGTAAAATGTAAGAGTGTTTTAAGTCAATACCTTTTCACAGATTCAAAATGTACATTATTCAATAATTAATACAACCACAAAACATGAAAAAAACAGTAAACCAACAATGCCTTTATATAAATGGCTGTTAATTCACTTAGGGATCGCAAAGAAAATAATTCATGTCAGAGAAAGTGAGCAAAGTGTATGGTGTATGGTCTTACAATACCTTTTAAAGTATGATAATCATCTCTGTTGATTGGTTGTGACATCATCAGTGGTAATGTCCTTCTCAACTCAGCAGGATTCACATTGGTTGGTTACTTGGATGATTGACCATGACCTGCAGCTAGAAACATTATCAAGACGTGCAGTGACAGAGAAGCTTCACATCTCAGCTGAGCATTTATCATTAAAAGTAACAGCATGGACATGGATGAGAGCATGTTTTATGACGTTCTGGTTTGTGTTAGAGCCTCAGGGTATGATGCTTATCGGAGAGGTTGCTATCACCTGCGTTCCGAATGCTATACAATATGCAGAGCCCTAAGCTACTAGGGTTATTGTTTTGTCAACCCAACAGAAAGATTATTAGAAATATTTAATAACAAAAAATAATTCAGTGTTATATTATGTCTTGCTGCTATAACATCATTAATCCACGGCTCTGCAGATGGACACATTTGCATATCTTTAAGTAATTGAAAAAACTGTAGGCAGCATGGTTGCATGGTGGTTAGTACTGTAGCCTCACAGTTCTTGGGTTCTTGGCGGAGTGTCTTCTATATGGAATCTGCATGAGCTCCCCCTGTCCTCATAGGTTTTCCCTGGGTGGTCTAGCTTCAGAAGTCTAAAGACATACTGTCCAGAGAAATCTACAAATCTAAATTGTTCCCTGTTTGTGAGCCAAATGCATGGATTCTGCAATGGACTGGTATCAAATCCAGAGTTTTGTCCTGCTTTGAGTCATTTCAGGTCAGGCTCTGGGTCACCTGTGACTCTCCAAAGACAAAATGGTAACTGAAAATAAATTCTCCAAAATGGCATTTTAAAACTAATAAGGAGTTTAAGTAATGATATTTTGCAAATTTTAGAAAAGTCTTAATAAAAGCTCTAAAAGTCTACTGTTATTATTTATTACATCATTATTATGTTTATGTTTAATTGTTTATAAATCCTTAATTTGGTGCACATTGAGCATACATGAAAGCACATGAAAGATAAAGGATTTGCACAAAAGTAAATATGTGTGCCCCGAGGCCTGAAATAGTGCATAATAAACCTAGTTAATTTTTAAGAGTTGTTGTAAGGCACAGTTGGAGAATGATAAAGATACTCTGTGTACAGTTTAAACTGTGCATATGAAATACTTTCAGTACATGATGAACAATAGATAGCAATGTCAAATAAAGGTGGAAGAACAATTGTTTTTAAGCAAATACCTATTTGTAGAGGTCACACTGGTGTGTTTTCTCAGGTATGATCTGTATCTCACATTTCCACTGTATTAATTTTTTCACCATTTCATAATCTCAGGCTGTGATTAAATAAAAAGGAATGGGAAGTAGATAACAATTCACAAAAGGCATCCAATATTGAAGAAAAGAAGAATGCTTCAAAACTATAATCAATGATGGTTGTGTTGACTGGAATTATTAGGACTGCCATCAGAAGGCACTTCTGTACACAAAGTATTGTGGAGGTCTGGAACAAACTGCCCAGCCATCCTGTGGAAGCTGATTGCCAGGCATTCTAAATGAAACAGGAGAATGTAATCCTTGAATCAATAATACATGTATACTAGTAAACCAAATAAGCAAGCTAAGTTAGATTTCCTGCTCTCGAGAGTAATATTTCTTATCTTATTAAATTCACAGACATACAGTAAATACTTTTGTTTGCACATTATTAAAAGGGGGATCATTTTGAGAAAATAAAATTTCTTTTTATATACTATTTTGAGAGAATGTGACTACAGTAAAGTGAAAAAAACAGGGACATGGTCACATTTAAAAGATACCAATAAGTAGGAAGTAATTGTATTGGCAGTACATGGATTTACTTGTAAGCAAAAAAAATGGTCATAAAAATAATTAGGAAGCCAAATAATATAATTAATTCTTAGTAGTCATTTATTCATTTTATGAAAGTTTGTGGTGGCCTGTTAATTTTACACTTTCATTATTTTTTTTTAAACACTTCACAGAAGATTAATACAGTAGCTTACTTTGGTTTTATGAAGCTTCTACCATAAATAATGGTTTTAATTATGGTTGTAAGACTAAAGTAGGAAATTCTTTTAAGGTAAACCAGGCACACCTAGAAGAGATGCCTGAGGCAGGTATAAATAGAAGAAGACCTGGCTTTTGTTTGTCTTTTCAATACTATTGTGGTAAGAAAACATTTTGCTCCCAATTGAAAATAAGCAAAAGTATTGATATGGAAACATCTAGATCTTTGCAGGAAAAACAAGAATAGTCATCGACTTAGGAATGGTTAAGGAACATGAACTTGGTGTAAACCTTTTGCATTCAACCTTAACAAAGAGTTTGTGTTGGTAAGCAGCTCAGCTGCTCAACTATAGACAGAACACTAATTATATTATTTACAGTATATTATCATATTTTGGGCTCTAAAGATTGAGCCGTATTTATTTTTGATAGTTTTCAGTTTTGCAGTCTAATAGCACTGTAGGTTTTCAGTTTTTCCCACTCTTTTATTTTTGTTTTTTTGTGTTGAATCTGTCTGTAAAAGATTCCAAACCACACATCAGGCCCCTATGTGTTACTATGTGCCTACATAATCCAGACAAAACTACCTGCCAGTAGTGTAATAGCATGACCCTGCCTTTTGAAAGCTGTTAAGTTATGTATCACATACTGAATAGTTTATTTACAAATGTCAAAAAAAGAACAACTTGGTATTTTTCAAGTCTTGCCCAGCAATTCAAATTTTAAAACTGAAAAAGACAATCCCTTAAAAAAACAATTTTATAAGCGTTTCAATACTTGTGGGATACATGTTCAAATGGTTAGTCAGACTGTATTCATTAAGGGAATTATTCACCAAAATAAGCAATATACAGTACAGAAAGCTTAACAAAGATTCAGTTTTATAACAGTCGGTTCTGCATTGTATTAATGTTAAAAAATAACTATGAAAATAATGTATTAGGACAAATTTATTCTCAACAGTAAATTCTATTATAGTAAAGTTACCACACCTCAGACATTTAGAAGTAATTTCATTCACGCCTCATTACAAATTAATTGTCACTCTCCAGTAGCTGCTTGAACTTTGTCTTTGCCTAGAAAAGGTTGTGAAATGAAGTCAGTCTGATTATCAGGTATCATTTTTGGTATTTACTGTTTATACCACTTTCGTCTTAAAGGTTTTCAAAGCACTTTTCTATATGAGAAGGGACACACTTCATCCACACATTGGCTGCAGAACCCATTCAACTGCAGGACCCACCTGGGTGATGTTTGGCCATAAAGCACAACAGATAAATGAGAGAGAAATTGCTTCACCTAATGAATATATGGGAACTTAGGGATGCCAGATTGTACAAATTCCAGACTGGAAACAATGACAATGGATCTCTAATGGCCAAGCAGTCAGCACTTCGTTTAAATGTCACATCTGAACAATAACACCTGATACAGCACAGTATCCCCACTCACCATACTGGGGCTGTGGTTTAGAAATTGTAGTGGAGAAGGAAGAGTTCCATCTACAGGCCTACTACACTACTAAGAAAGCTATTGAAGTCTCCATTGGCCAGAGGACCAGTGTTTTGGCATTGTGGAATTACAGTAGTATATTGGCATTGGATTTGGTGTGGCTCTGAGGGCTGAGAAGTTCCAAATCCCAGCAGGACTGACAATTGACAGTTGCAGATTGACAATATCTGGCAGCTCTCCACAACGCATGTTACTACTACACTTACTCCCTGCATGCCTAGTTCTACATGGCTTGGCACCTCCATACCAGTCTGACTTGTTATTTTCCTGCTTCCCACCTGGCTACCTTTGTTTATCTGACTGGTGTCCTGTTTATCCCCCACATATCTACAGTACGGTACAGGGCCTTCTGCTGTTACAACCCAAAGAATTATATCCCCAGGGATATCAGATAGTTACCTTTTTCAGGAAGGCCTTTATTTAATTGGTGTCTGTTTCTAACTCTTTGCATCTTCAACTGCATTCTAAACCCTTGTTTTATTTTTTATAATTCTGTTAGCTCCTCTCCTTTTTTGTTACTATAAAGCTGTTTGAGAAGCTACTTTTAAAGGCACTTTATAAATTAGTTAATAATTATTTTATAATAATAAGTGCTCAAAGTTCACATTACTAATTTCTTTTAAATATACTGTAAAAGCTGTGAATCTCCTGTGGGACATAGGGGCTTTAGTTTGCAGCGAGAGTGAGGCAACTCAGCAGTATAGTGTTACCTCTGAAATTAAGCAGACAACTCTGGAAAAAGTCCACTGAATTTACAACATTATAATTATTTTATACAGTATACTGTTTCATTTTTTCTTTTTGTCAGGTACCCTTACCCATGTAGCATTGAAGCTTTAAATTTCTTACAATGCGGGCAAACAAACTCAGCTGCTAATTACTTAGCCAATGCAAATGACTGCTAGGTGCTTTTGTCACTTTCAAATAAATTATCTTTACTTTTGTAATGTAGCTATCATAAAAGGAATATCTCCAGGTCAGCATGTAGGAGAACCGAACCATGTTTAGGAGATCATCTTTAGGAAATGGCAGAAGATAAAATACAAAACGTACTTGACAGCCATCCCCATCTATTACTACTAATTTATTTGGCTAATGCATTTTATACTTACATCTACACCCATTTATACAGTTAGGTATTTCATTTTAACAATCTAAGTACCTTGCTTAAGGGTACAACGGTAGTGTCTCACTTGGTGTACCCACAACCTTCCAGTTAATCTTTCATCTTTCATTATTCATTAATTTCTTACACTTATATAGTTCTTTCTTTTCTGCACACTCCACTCAAAGCGCTTTATAGGTAATAGGGACTCCCATCCACCACCACCAATGTGCAGCATCCACCTGGATGATGTGACAGCAGCCAAAGTATGCCAGTATGCTCATAACACACCTGTAAGTGGGGAAGGGAAAGGGAAAGAGTAATGAAGTCAATTTATAGACAGGAATTATTAAGAAGTCAGGATAGGTGGTAAAGGCAAGAGAGAAAATGTGTCCAGGACAACGGTATAAAACCCCTACATTTTTTTTCTAAATGTCCTGGGATTTTTAATGACCACAGAGATTTGGAACCTCAGTTTTACACCTCATCTGAAGAATGGCT